GCTCTTTCAAAAGGGCCCCCTGGTTAGATCTTAACTGCCTGGTAGGTTCATATGGAAGGAGGCGGTCCTTCAAGTATCCAGGGCCCAAGCCGTTTAGAGCTTTATATGTCAAAACAAGCACTTTGAATTGGGCCCGGGCAGCAACTGGTAACCAATGTAAATTAAACAGAATCAGCTTGATGTGATCTCTAGCAGCTCCACCACTCACCAGCCATGCAGCTCGATTCTGGACCAGTTGCACTCGCCGGACCGTCTTCAAAGGCAGCCCCACGTAGAGCGCATTGCAATAATCTATACGAGATGTTACCAGTGTGTGTGTAATTGTCATGAGACTCTGCTCGTCCAGGTAGGGCTGCAGCTGGTATAATTTCCGCAGCTGAAGGAAGGTGCCTCTGGCCACCGAGTCCACCTGGGCTTCCAAAGTTAGACTGGGGTCCAGGAGCACCCCCAGGCTGCGGACCCTGTCCCTTAGGGGGAGTGCAACCCTATTCAGGGCAGGGCAATGGCCCTCCAACCTGCCCGGTGAAGCACCCACTAACAGCCCTTCTGTCTTGTCTGGATTGAGTTTCAATTTATTAACCCTCATCCAGTCCATTATCAGGTCCAGACACTTTTTCAGATGCCAAACAAAATGTGTTAATCTCTGTGGTACCACAAGACTTTGTAATTGGACTGCAGACTAACATGGCCATCATGAAGTACAGTTGGATAGATCAGGAAAGACCCTCATATCCACTGTTGGTTCTCTCACACAATTTAAGGGGTGGGGAGAAAAAAGCCAAAGAGTAAAGTGGCCCAGTCATGCCGCCTTTCCCAAGAAAGGGAAGAAAGACGTCATGTCCCCTAGGAGGAATTTGAAGATCTTAACGAAAATGCCCCTGTGAAAGGGAGATAAGAGAGTGTCGGTGTGCAGCATTGGACAGATAAAAAGCCAGTGAGTGGTGAGATTATGTGTATTGTATGTGTTTGTGGGGAGGAGAGGGAACCTGGATCATGACCAGCTGGCCTAGCGAGAGCTGGTGACTTTAACTTCTTAGAGGAGGTGAATCCTCACCAAATTTTAGTCTGAAATTTAAAGTAGTTTGCTAGAATACAAAACCGCTTAGGGGGACTGGGCTGAAGAACTTGGACAGCTCCTGTAAAATTTGGACTAAAACCTGGGATGGATTTGCTGCTTCCATGAAATAGAAATCACAAGCCTCCACTGTGTCTAACCTCCCATCCCTCATCATACACTGCTCTTTGGGGTAAACCAAAGATTTTGTTTGCCCAGCCCTGGTCAAAGAGGAAACATTCAGCAGAACTTGCAAAGTGAAACGGTTTTGAAGAGCCTCTTCAGAAAAGTGCCTCCTAAGCAGAAGCAGTGCTGGGGACAAAGGTGACTCTGTGTTCCATGGGGTGAGGAGAACGAGATATTAATTGTAGTTTATGCTCTAACTCATATTGCATCCCAGGCAGAACTTGATCCTTTTTACATTATTTATTTGTTATATTTATGTCACATTTTTCTCCAGTAAGCTCAAGGACGTAGTCATAGTTCTCCGCCTCCTCATTTTATTCTCACAACAACTTTGTAAGGTTGGTCAGGCTCAGAGAGTGTGACTCACCCAACTTCACCCAGTAGTTTCATGACCAAGTGGGCATTTGAACCCAGGCCTCTTGCGTGCTATTCCAACATCTTAAACTAATTTACCAGAAATAACTCTAGGTTACAGTTTAATTTATACTGTGTGTTACTATGTGGCTTACCTTAACTTTGCCTGCAAGTGGTCCTTCAAAGAAATGCTGGGAAGGAAATGCAGGCCCAACCTGTTGATCTCTAGCTATGTTCAACTCCAGTTTTCCCAATCTCCAAACAATAGCTGGAGGTAGTGGACACTGTAATCCAACTGATCTGGCAGGAGCCAGGTTGCACATGGCCAATCCATGCACTACTTTCTCCTCCATCCCTAGCCTTAGAACGGTGAAGGCACACTAAGATCCGTTCCATTTACTACCCATACTAAAAAAATAAGGAAAAAAAGGAGGGGGTAAGGCAATGTAGAAAGATTATGGATTTGCCCTCTGTGCTTCTCACCTCCTACAGGGAATAGAGCCTGTGTTGTGGGGACCAAAAAAGCAGGAGGCATCACCTGATAGTTCACTGAATACTGAGCTCTGGACTCAAGAAGCCTTCAGGAAGCAAGTTGTAGTCCCACTTCACATCCACAACTTCAGTCTTCTCAAAAGTCTTTTTGACCATATCTGCATTACACAGTTACAGCAGCTTTAATTGCCATGACTTCATCCTATGACATCCTGGGATCTGTCATTTGCTGAGGTACTCTGAAATCTTGGCAACACAAGGCAGTGCAATATAGCGTTCTGGCAGATAAATTCTATAACAGTACAGCTGAAATCCAGCAGTAAGTCACAACTAGAGTAGGCCCATTGAATCAGTGGAATTCACATAGCCGTTAACTCACTGAAACTCCACTGATTGAATAGGCCTACTCAAGTTGCATCTTACAACCAGTACCTCACATAATAATAATCTTCATAATGTGCTGTGAAATCATTTAGGGCAGCCATTTTCATCCTCTTTTTTGGGGGGGGCATGAACATTAACGCAATAGGAAAGAAATATAGGCAAAACCAATATTGCATAAATTCCATAACAAACCTTATAATGTGATGTGTGCAGAACTGTTTCCAGCCTGTGGCCCCCTTCAAATGTACCAGGGCCCCCCTTAGGGAGCCATATGTTCCCTGCCAAGAGTGGCTGGCCTAGGGCAACTCTCCCAGAATTTTCTAGGCAGAGAGTACTCAGAAACTGTTTACTACAGTATTTCCTTCTTTGGGGGTAGTTTGGGCAAAGAAACACAGATTAACAGCTTGCCCAGGGCTACCCAGGTAGCAGAAGAAGTAACCCCATCAGCCATACATGCTCCAGGAAGTCTCAGTTGGTCTGTCTCCTGGGAAACACAGTGGGGAATTTGAACTCAATGACACCTCAATCCACTAAGCTAAAGCTACCTCAAAATTATGTTGTATCAAGTTGTTTCCTACTTCACTGCATGCATCTGTTGACCTGGTATGGTTCCATGGGTTGAAGCCAAAATACAAACTCAGGATTCAATGGGATGGATTTATAGAAGTTAGAACAGGATTAGATTGCTGTAACTATCTAGTGTAGACACATTACTTCTGGAAAAATAGTGATTTGCTATTTAAAATAGAATGATGGGAAGACTGCAGAAGGCCAGGGCAGCTCCCTTTTCCGAACCACCACCACCACCTTCTTCCCTAGTATTTGCTGCCTTGATCAGTTATGTAGTTGTTATTTTATGATGTCCTTGGGCCCAAGTTCAGAGAAGCCTCTGTATTGGTTTGCCAGACTGCACCTGTCATTCTGAATCATTTGAAATGGGAAGTGAAGAGATAGGCAGAGGAGTTGGCGGCATTCCAATCTCAAGTGTTTTAGCAGATTCATAATTAGCAGACACTGGCCATTTCCAAGGCAACCAGCAGTAATGGACCACATGCGTCTCCACAGAGTTTTCTAAGATTTGCAGGGTAGGAGGAAGGTTTATAGGAGACCCCAAGGCACTGACAATTAAAAACCATCAAGATATTTCCTGAGTGCCTTGTTTTGTAGGGTGAACTGAGTGTAGAACAATCTGCCTTTTAAATTGGTAAAGAAACAGAGATTAATAGATCATTATTTTTCCAAAAGTAAAACAGACAAATAATTTGAAAGGCATTGAAATACACTGAACAACTGAAGGAGTTGTGAAGGAACAATTTGGTGTTAGAAGATGTTTGGTACCTTAACAGTTAATCAGAAAAGAGCCAGTAATGGATTTTAAAAAAAAAAATTACTGAAGTAGCTATGAAAGAATACAACAGGAAAAAATCTCAAGAGTTACATTCATTACTGTTGATACACCTGCTTTTGTTTTTCCTTTCAGGACATTTACTTGTTTGGAGGAACGTCTGTATCTAATGACGGTAGTAAAATACTAAAGAATGATATTATGAAGTTAAGTTTAGGTGAGTAGGGAAAAAGAGGAAGGGAAGTGTAAGAGACATTGTCTACCAAGACCTATGTGCAATCTAATACTTTTGAGACGTGTTTGCTGTTATGCTTGAAAATTGCCACACACACCCCTTAAGCTTAAAAACGCATTAGGTTCTTTTAGTTTCTGTTCATCAGTTCACAACTGTTATTCCTTATACTGAATGCTTTCCTTTGAAATGTCTCTCTTTTAAAATGCTGCAAAGAACAAAAGTCAGTAATCCAGGAACATTTTATATGCATTGTTAAGTACAAGGGACCTTTTGTTTTGTATTAACTTTTCATGTCAACCAGTACTTAGCAACTGCTTAACATATTGTTCTTGAATCTTTGTTCTAAGCAGCAGCAGCAAAAAAGGGCACCTTTTCTATCCTCCTCCTCCTCTGTAAAGGTATGGCCTAGGGTACTTGGCATACACACATCTGCTGGTGCTACCAATCAAACTGTATTACAGGATAATTCCATCTTTCCTTCCTTAATGAATTTGACATGGTAGAGAAAAGAAGCAAAGAACTAGGTTACAAATGAAAGATGCACAACCTCCTTCTGTGAATGACGAAAGGTGACTGCATAAGAAAAGTAGTGTGTGGAAGCAGGATATTTGAACAGTGGCATCCTATTCCTTCTTTGTGTATGAAAGCCTATGTGGCTTGTTGGTAAACACCGTGACTGGCTTTAAGGCTGGCTCTGAGGCAGATTCTCAGGGGATGGTAATCACTTTGGAATAAAGTTCCCATTGTTCAGAGGTACTAAGGGACCACAGCTATGTCAGTGCCCAACAAGGCTGTGGGTTCCCAACATATTGGTCCATGTTGCCTACCAGGTTGTGCTTGCCCAGATTTCACCTTTTACCTTTAGGTCACTGGCTTCCAGGGTGCAGTAGTCCCAGTAGAGCCTCCAGATGAACTACAGTTCTATAAATAGTCTAATTAATCACTGAGTTTTGAATCGCACAGAGTGCTTAATTTGTGAACACAGAAATGTGTCTTTCCATGTTTTCGTGCCTCTCACATCATCATTTTTCCTTTATGCAACTCATTTCTTTGAAGGGGAGGTTTAACCATGGGAAAGATGCACCTATGCACTAATGTTCCTTTTTGCAAGCACTGAATAGAGTTACTTTGGCTCTGGATTCAGTATGATTACATTTCTTATGAGTGTTTCCTAATTAGCAACCTTTAAACATATCTTGACCCTCCTGAGGAAGAATAAAGCAAAGGTCAAGGCACTCATGTCAGTGGTCTAGCCAGCAAAAGAAAAAATTACTTAGTGGCTGGGCCAAGCTTTTGAATGACTCTCTCTTTCTTACTCCATCCTCATATGACTTTGTGCAGGAGGTCAGAGTGAGAGAGAGTGACTGATTTTTGAGGTTGACCAGTGAGTTTCATGACTTATTGGGAACTACAACCTGGATTTTCCCAGGTCCAGTCTACTTGCTGCAGACCAGAGTTCAGAAAAATAACTGTTATGAGCTCTGACATGGACCAAGGGATTGTGGACATCATGGAAATTCAGGATACTAAGCTAAAAGCTGTGCTTATAACAAGGGTTAAGAAAGCTTCAACGGGGGACTCTCAATGCTTAGTTGGGCCAAATCTGCCAGCTTGAGGGATCATCCTGAATCCCTAACATTGCTAACTTCTTGATTTCTGCAGCTTTGTTGTTGGCTCAGTCTTAGTCTCAAGCAACTGAAAGGTGGTAAAATTTTCCTCAATTTCATAAAACACCCTAATCAACTAATTGCATGCATTGCAAGTTCTCTAGCTCAAATAATTCAAGTAGTACTATATATTAAATGTGCTATGAATTATTGTAATAACTGACTTATTGTTTGTTTGAAAATGTTCATGTCTATAGATACTGTGATTTCGGAGATGGCAGTTTCCTGGGATTTCCTTTAATTTCCCATTTAAGTAGATTAGATAAAGCTTATAAATTAATAACCATAAATGGCAGTGCATTAGAAAGGCACATCAATTGCCTATTTAATTTATCTATTCACAGCTATTAATGATTTTATCATCATTAAATTCTGCATATTAGTCTACATAGTACATTTACAGTATTATGCCAAATCTCTAATGTGCCGTCTTATCTACAGGCAGGACACAGTGTGGGGGCAGGATCAGGCTTTATGTTTTGCCAGTAGAACATTCATTGGTTATTGGGGAAATGTTTTATCTTCAGGTGAAGCCACTGGCAGGTGTCTCCTTTTGGAAAGAGTAGGAGTAGTCATTGTGAGCTCCTGGAGGATGACATATTTATCTTCTGGTTATCACGAGTTATCCTACCCAACATTGTGGAGCAGTCTTTTGCAACAGATACCATAACACAGAATAAGTAGTCATACAGTGGTGCCTCAACTTACGAACTTAATTGGTTCAGGAACTCCGGTCGTAACTCAAAATGGTCATAAGTCGAAGCACAATTTCCCACAGGAATGCATTGAAATGCAATTAATCCGTTCCGGGCTGAAGAAAAAAATCAACCAAAAAAGAAAGAAAAGAAAACACTGCAAGACCCATCGGAAACGCAATTAATCCATTCCAGCGGAAGAAAAGTAAAGAAAAGCAAACAAACCGTGCAAGACCCTTCGGAAATGCAAAAAAAGCAAAGCAGAAAGCGAACAAACCCTGCAAGACCCATCGGAAATGGGGGGGACCCAAAAGCAAACAAACCCTGCAAGACCCATCAGAAATGGGAGGGAACCCCCAAAACAAACAAACCCTGCAAGACCCATTGGAAATGGGGAAAAAACAAACCAAAAAAACAAACTCTGCAAGACCCATCACAGCATAAAAAGATAATCCCACGACGCAGCCCAAAACCACTGGCCGAAGAAAAAAATCAACCAGAAAAAGAAAGAAAAGAAAACACTGCAAGACCCATCGGAAACGCACTTAATCCGTTCCCGCGGAAGAAAAGTAAAGAAAAGCAAACAAACCGTGCAAGACCCTTCGGTTGGTTAACACTGTAGGTTAGAACATTAGAATATCTTTATCAATATTCCAAGAAATTGCGAAAAGGAGACAAGTTATAAAATAGCAGAGTGTCTCAGATTTGATACACTTCTACAAATCAATTCTACCTCCTCCGATTGCACACTTTCTACCCGCTGGGACGAAAGAGCTACAAAGAAGCAGCCTCTTCACCCCCAACGGTTAGCAATTTAAATTCCCTGCCTTTCCCCCCCTGCCTTTTTCTGGTTGTAACTCAAAGCTCCGGTCACAAGTAGAAGCAAAATTTTGCAGCTGGAGCTGGTCGTAACACGAAATGATTGTATGTCAGGACGTTCATAAGTCGAGGCACCACTGTATAAAGCCTGTACAAAAACCTGCAAGACGCATCACAGCATAAAAAGATAATCCCACGACGCAGCCCAAAACCACTCTGCAAAACCCACCCAGAACAGTTTTTAAAAAGTAGAAAGCAGCACCTTCCCAGGCAGTCCGACGCCTCCTCCGATTGCACTTTCTACCTGCTGGGACGAAAGAGCTACAAAGAAGCAGCCTCTTCGTCACCAACGGTTAGCAATTTAAATTCCCCGCCTTTTTCCCCCTGCCTTTTTCTGGTTGTAACTCAAAGCTCCGGTCACAAGTAGAAGCAAAATTGTGCATCTGGAGCAGGTCATAACACGAAATGATCGTATGTCAGGACGTTCGTAAGTTGAGACACCACTGTATAAAGCCTGTACATTAACAAAAGGAATTTAGACCAATTGGACCACAATAATCACTCCAGGTGACCTCTTTGGATCTGGAGAAAGATGACTTTCCTGACTGCATCTTTCCAAGAGTTGCCCTCTTTGCAGCTCCAAGAACACAAGAGGTAGCTTTGTCATCTTGCTGTCCTTCACATAAAGGAGGGTTGGTGAGAACTTTCTGGTAACATAGCCAAATGTTCAAGTATAAAAAGAATTTGGTGGGAAAGGGTGTAACTCAAAGCTCCGGTCACAAGTAGAAGCAAAATTGTGCATCTGGAGCAGGTCATAACACGAAATGATCGTATGTCAGGACGTTCGTAAGTTGAGACACCACTGTATAAAGCCTGTACATTAACAAAAGGAATTTAGACCAATTGGACCACAATAATCACTCCAGGTGACCTCTTTGGATCTGGAGAAAGATGACTTTCCTGACTGCATCTTTCCAAGAGTTGCCCTCTTTGCAGCTCCAAGAACACAAGAGGTAGCTTTGTCATCTTGCTGTCCTTCACATAAAGGAGGGTTGGTGAGAACTTTCTGGTAACATAATGTCCAAGTATAAAAAGAATTTGGTGGGAAAGGGAAAGAGAAAAAAATGCAACACTCAGTGTTTCAAATAAAATCAATGAAATCACCGTAACCAAGTTCACGTTACCTCTTTGAGCAGAGTTCTGTGTTTCAAAGTATGACCTATGAGGGTTCTCAGAACTACAGAGTTGCAGTAGAATTACAGAGGCTTCTCACAGTCACCAAACAAAGTCTAAAGAGTAACAAGTATCAACATAAATTAATACTCTAATCAAGCTATACTATAAGCAAAAACATCAGTGGAGCACAAGACCATGCATATTGGCCTACCCCATATTACAATGTGTGGACTAGCCTTAGTGCTCTCTGCTCAGAGCTTGTCAGTTTGAAGAGCAACATCGGAGAGTTCCATTCAAATTCTCTGGAATACAAGGAGGACTCCATACACAATCCCAGACTCTGTTTTGCCAGGGTCCCCAGTCATGCCAACACACTGGTGGACAAAATATAGCCATCAGGTTACTTCCACTCCCAGGGGCCCAAATGTGCCCCAGCATATCCCTGTCTGCCATGAGGGCAATTACTGCATGCTTTGTGGGCCTAGGGGATTCCATGCCCCTCAATATTTTTGTGAGGGAACCTATAGTTTGCTCTAGCCACCCTGCAGCACTACTTTTCACTTCCTGAAGTGTGAGTCTCAGGCAGGGAGACCCAGGTTCTGGTTAAAACCCTTAGGGAAACCTT